GAATAATTGGCTGAAAATGAATCCGATATCACTAATTGATTGAAAATATAAAAGGATAACTAATCGAGTAATATTCTACCATTATATATTTTAATCCAAGTAATCCGTCCTGATGGATTGAAGGTGTTAGCTCTAGACGAAGATGAATAGGATTGTGTTGTCACTACCAATGTTGTCTACAAAGAGGTTTCAATAATGTGTAAATATAATCGGTGATATTAAGTTTTTTTTTAAATGAAAAAATTGTTATATATCTAGACAAAAAAATATATCTTCCATACAAATGAATAAGGATACCAATTCATTTCTATAACTGAGTTGTTAGAGAACGAGCACATTTTACTAATTTATGAAAATTCTAAATAATGATAAATAAAATCTTCAAAGACAAACTGTTGAGAAAATGTTGATATATTCTTTTTTTTTGGTCTATTTTTGTGGAGAAGATACTATACGGATCTAGACAGATTGACCGGGAAGCAATAGACTTCTAATCATCATGTGATCTTCCACAGTTGAGGTTGATACGTGATTTACATTGGTGAGGTTTTCATCATCTTAGTTTCTTTTATTTTTTCTTCTTTTTGGGTTTTGTTTTGTTTTAATTTTTTTGTATTTTATGGTTTTTAAACAACAAAAGTGGTTCATAAGAAAAAATGTTGATATATATATTTTTTGTCTTTTTTTTTTTTTTTTTTTTTTTTTTTTTTTTTTTTTTTTTTTTTTTTTGTGGAGAAGATACAGATCTAGAAAGATTGATCGGGAAGCAAAAGAGTTCCTTGCTCATCAAGATGATAAAGTTTTGTGATCGAGGGACGAATTATGTGTATATGTAAATATATATAGACTTATAGAGGGAACCATACAAAGAATACAATAAAAACCAAAATGAAATTAAAAGCATTTTTTAGTTGTCAATATATCAAAGCATTGGACATTGTTTCGATTCAATTTCTCCGTTTTTAAAGTGTACATTTTTTGTAATAAGAGAGTAGTTTGTCTTTCCCTTCAAGACGTTTTTCTTGCCATTTAAATTTTTTTTTTAGGAAAAAAATGATTAAGTACTGTGGCTTTTTTTTTCAATAGAGTATTATTTTGATTTTATTCTTCGTCTGACATTCCTTGATATGAAATCACTTTACTAATGTAAAATAATGTTATTGACTTACCATGTTTGCTTCGATATGCTAAGCCATTTAAAATTTAATACGGAGTAAAATTTATAATTGTAATACTTCCGTAATAATATTGAATAAATATTAATCATATGTTTAGATTTAATAATATATTATATTAAAAGAATTATTTATTAATTTAATATAGTGATGGTTAATACGGGTAAACCATATATAAGCAATATTTTACCTTAAGAATATTATACCTTAATTATAAAAATTCTACCTAATAATTTTAGTATTAAAAGTCATACAATAATTACCATAAACAATGTTTAATAATTGCCAAATTCTATTATGCAATAAAAATTACTTTTATAAAATTTTTTGTAATATGGACACATTATTTTTAATTATTTCGATTTAATAATATTATATTTTATGTATAAAATTCAAATAATACTTTTAGTACTATTGAATATTGATTGACTAACAATTATTTTAATTATTAAGGCAATTAATGGATATTTCGATTTTAAAAGTTTTCAAATATATGAATTATACATAGTAGCATTGAATCAATTAGTAAGACAATTATATTAGGTAATCTAATAAATAACTTACTTTTTAAATTATATCTCATCTTTAATCTTTAATAACGAATATTTTCTTAAAGTATATACATAGACTATGGTTATCAATATAAAATTAAAAGTATATATATATATATATATATATATATATATATATATATATATATATATATATATATATATATATATATATAATGGATAATATTATTAGTACAAAATAAGTTATACTTACCTTAATAATTAATTATTAATATTATTACCTAATAATTATATATTGTTACCTTTTTCGATGTAATTATTATGGTAATTTATATACATATATATTTTTATACTTAATGTATAATATATTGGCATGAAAAAAATTATACTTATCTTAATATATAATTAATTTTTAATATAATTTCCTTATTTTTATTAAAGATAATTATTTTAATAATTTTTCTTTCATTATTTTGTGTGATTATTATGGTAATGTATTTAAATTTTGGAAGAGATTATTACAAATATTAAATTAATATAAGTAATATAATTAATGAAATTATTATGGTAATTATCACAATATTTGGTAATTATAATTAATATAATTAAAGAAATTGAGAAATATAAGATATCTTCCCTAGAAATATTTGTGACAATTTAGTTAAATTACAATTAATAAAATATGAAATATAATTAAAGAAATGAAATTATTAAATTAACAAAACATGAATATTTCTAATCATACATACACTTATGCACTATAGTAATCATGCAAAATTTAAATACAACTTTTTAAATTTTTAAATGTAATTTTTTAATTATAAATATATCAATATAAATTATAATTAATGAAATTATATTATAGAATTTTCCTATTTTCATTTTAATAAATATTATGTGTATATAAAATGAATTATACAATCATATAAGGAAATGCGTCGGATTAGAGTTTAAATTTATTCATACAAATTTTAGAATTTACATTTTTTTTTATAAAACTAATCAAATGTTAATGTTAATAATAATAATAAGAATTTTAAAATCAGAATTATAAATTAAGTATTAGGGAAATAATTAATCTATATATATTATATATTATATATTATATATTATTATTATTATTATTATTATTATTATTATTATTATTATTATTATTATTATTATTATTATTAATATATAAAAAAAAATCATCCCTTTCCAAAAAAAAAAAAAAACAAAATCATCCAATTTCATTTTCCCGCCCAAACTTTTGTAGTAAAGCTTATTTGGTAAGTAAATGTCTAATGAAAATTAAAAAAAATCTATTAATTAGTAATATTGCATAATTGGTAACATTATGTATGGTATTATATTCTATAATATATTAATATAATTAATAATATTATTGTTCAAGTATAATAAAAATCCTATGTAATAATGTAATAATAAAAAATAAAAATAAAATTAAAATAATAACAATAACAATAATAATAATAATAACAATAACAACAAATTTAATAATCCAAACAAAACTATATACAAAATAAATTTAAAATTAAAAAAAAAAAAAAAAAAAAAAAAAAAAGGAAGAAGACAAAGGTGGCTTCCCTTTGTAAATGATATGAGATCATTTTGATTCCACATTGAAAATGTTTGGAAAGATAAGCTCTTAAACTCCTCTATATAAGAGGGGCATTTACAAACATATAATTGCTTGCCCATCAATATGGGCAAGTATTGAGAAGTCGAAAGACTTTTTTATTTTTATTTTTTTTATTTTTTTTATTTTAGTACTATTAACCTGACAAATTATGCTGTGGATATGTGTCCACCTTGCAATGTAGACACAGTTCAAAAATTGTTCTTAATTATTAATATATAATTCAAAAATTATGAACATATAGTTCTATAATTATGAACATAGTGTTGTGAACATAATTATGAATATATAGTTATCTAATCATGAATATAGAGATTCAATAATTGTGAATATGAAGCTAAAAATTATGCATATATATCTTTATAATTATGAACATATAGTTCAGTAACTATGAATTTAGAGTTCTGTAATTATAAATATAGAGTTCAATACGTACTTATGAATATGAAGTTCAAAAATTATGAATATATAGCTTTATAATAATGAACATATAGTTTAGTAATTATAAACATAGAACTGTGTCCACCTTGCAAGGTGGACACGGTTCCACAACATAACTATTCGATTGACCCCGTAACATGTAAACTTTCTCAACCTATTGAAACCCAACGTGTCAAAAGGCTCTTATTTAAGAAACCTTATCTTAATGGCTTCTTATTTTAGTTTTTTTTTTTTAATTTTTTTTAAAATTTATTAGGGGGTTTGAGAAAGATTAAGCCAAAATGTATATGAGTTGTTTTAGTTTTTAGCAGTTTGGAGCAAATTGCTAAGTTATTAAATAATATTTTTGGTGTTTTGATTAAATATAAAATGTTAAACAGACGAATTTATTAAAATTTTAATGAATTTACCAAATAATCAGATTACAACAACAACAACAACAATAATAATAATAATCCAAAAAAAAACTATATACAAAATAAAATTAAAATTAACCAAAAAAAAAAAAAAAGACAAAGGCGAGCCACCGTCACCCTTTGTAAATGATGTGGGATCATTTTGATCCCACATTTAAAATGTTTGAAAAGAGAGAGCTCATCTATATAAGAGGAGCAATGAGACTCTTATAAACATAATTGCTTGCCCATCAATGTGGTCAAGTATTGAGAAGTCAAAAGGTTCTTATTTAAGAAGCTTTAACTTTGTCTTCTTATTTTAGTTTTTATTTATTTATTATTAGTATGGGTTGTGGAAGATTAACCCAAAATGTATGTGTTGTATTAGTTTTTAGCTGTTTGGAGCAAATTATTGAGTTATTATATAATATATTTTGATTTTGATATTTTGATGTTTTGATTAAAGTTAAAATGTTAAAATGACGAATTTATTATAATTTTGGCGAATTTATCTATAATCAAATTACAAATAATAATAATAATAATAATAATAATAATAATAATAATAATAATAATAATAATAATAATAATAATAATAATAATAATAATAATAATAATAATAATAATAATAATAATAATAATCCAAACAAAACAATATACAAAATAAAATTAAATTTAAAATTAAAAATAATAAGAAGAAGACAAAAGGGATCCACGGGCTCCATTTGTAAATAATGCTAGATCATTTTGATCCCACATTGAAAATGTTTGGAAAGAGGAGTTCTTTGAGCTCCTCATCCCACATTGAAAATGTTTGGAAAGAGGAGTTCTTGAGCTC